GGGGGGGAGATTAAAATGGACAGCTCTTTCGAATCGTAACGAGCCTGCAACAAGACGTTTGTCTCTCTGTTCTCCGTTCATGGCGATAGATGGTGCTGTTGAACTTGTTGTTTGGGCAAGGAATGGTTACTTGGGGGATTGTGGTAATAGGCGAGAGGAGGAACGGGGGTGCGAAGGAGACTGGGCTCAAAGATAAATTCGATCGTTCGGATGAGACCAGGATTTGATGGCCGCCAGGGCGGAGGAACTTTCGGATGAGGGATAAAAGTTAATCGTTTGAAGTAACGAGGATTACGAGTAATATACAAATACCGAGTTTCGTTCATTCTCATGACTCTGCTTTGGAGTAAAGAATGCGGCGCGCGAAGGGTGTGCCAACTGTGCCACGCGTTGTAGTTGGGGATGGTAGATGACATCATCCATGCCACCAACCAGAGCTTCAGAACCAAGCCACTCCACATACGGAACCTGTCCTGCCTGCCTCCTGACTGAAGTGGAGAGTTCAGAACACATATAAGTACAATAATGGACACCGTCACACATACTTTGGAGGTTTAATTGATTGTCTTTTTTTTTTAAGACAATGCTAACCTCTACCTCTCCCATAAAGACTTAACGGCAAGCGACGATAGACTCGGACTCTCGTTACTCGATCATTCGGATGCGTTTCAATATCCGTAACATCGTGGGACAGAGGCATGTCTTTTTCTTAAATCGATTTTTAAAAATTTGTATATAGGAATTCGAGCGAGGTCGGACTCTAACGGAATGCCGATAAGCTCTTTTTTTTTATATGCGTTCGTTATATATCTCAGGTCTGCATGATCGCGCATTGCAGCTGTTATATTACGTATTTTTGTGTATTTATAATGATATATTCATGTATATCAGTCTCCCCGATATTTTCGTTTCCTCGGCCGTTAAGTTTTTCAAGCGTACTCTTGGGCCCAAGGGGCCTTATTATTCTTTCTATATATCTATGGATATATATATTTATTTATATATATACATGTATGCATATATATTATTGCGTGAAACGTTACAAGTGGAACGTAAATAATAACATACCTATGGAACCTGAAAGAATAATTTATTAAAGCTGAAAACACAAGTTTTATTAAGTTCTCTCTTCATTGGTTATTTATATGTGCACGTGTAACAAAGGAGACCAATACTGAACTTATCGTGGTGAATATTTTTTTTTTTTTTAAAATACTATCAAGTCAATGTGTCAAAAAGATATCAGTCGACGAACCGTGCTTTGCTGAAAATATTCTAAAAATATAATATACGCAAATCATTCGCATTAACATGTTTTGGAATTTTTTTTACATACAGTATATACTTGGATATGTCCAGTTATGATTCCTGATTTTTTTTTAAATTGTGCACTATCACAATTTTGGCTTATCATTTAAAGATTTTTAAATAGGCTCATGCGAAGCGTTTTAGTCACACGGTAAGAGGCTGGACACACGTAAAATTATATGTAGAAATTATTTCGAAACATACAACGATAGTGTGCACAAGGAATAAACGAATGATCGTTATTAAAAAAAAATCCTCTTACTGTGTGATAGGAATTTGTTTTTGGAAATTGAAACAAAAATACAAAAAATTTAATTCGACGCTTCGCTTGGGCAGTTTTAATCGCGAGGATGAATACTCGATAGAGATCCGATTATAATTTTCTCACGGAGAAATGTTACTCTAAGCATTTTAGGCATTTTAACAGATCTACGAGGAATTATTTTGATTTCTAAAGAGCGACTTCCTCCTCGCGATCCTAGCGACATTTCCGGTGTCGCTGCAGAATACGAAACCTGTAAGAAATCGGCTCTTCCGTGAGCCGTGATTACGTCACTCCGATACTCGCAATGGACATACCTGCTCTCGTTTGGCTGTTTTCTCTTCTTTCTCTCTCTTGCGCACCTCCAGCAGATACTCGTTGAAGAGACTCTCGCGCTCCCGCATCTTCTCAACGTTTTTAAAGCGTTCGTCCCTTCCATGCTTTTGAGCGAAATCACTGAATGACGATCTATGTAATGTACACAATTAATATGAACCAATGAAAACCTTTTTGTTGATAATGAACACAGGAAATTTTTTGAACTTACTTTCCGTGAAGGTTAGCTTCCTCTAGGAGCTTTTGAAACTGCTCTTTCCGTTCCTTCATCTTGTTCCTCTTCTCGCGACGTTCCTCCTCCGCCCTCTCCTTCACGTACTTCTCGAACACCTGCTTCCTCTCCTTAGATGTTAGCAGCAGGTACCGGGGGTCAAAGACGATCTTGTGCAGTTCTTTTTCCCAAGTGCTAAAAGCTGATACCTAAGAAGAAATATATGTAAATTTTAAAGTCGATTAAGTCAGAAAAGTTTTTTTTTTTTTTTCATTTTTAACAAAGGAGTTAAGAATAGACTTACGTCCTTCTCCGCGAGCATATCCCGGAAGGATTTAATTCTCGTCTCCAAGGGGACAATAGCCCTCTCTCTGGCTGCCCTGACTTCCGCTTCTATGGCCGCTTCCTTGCCGATGTCAATGGTCTTCTTGCCTTCCTTTTCCTCCTCCTCTTTAACCACCACGACTACGCAAGTAAAATTTCCTTAAATAAGGAATATATTATATCGGGATATAAGAAGATTTTTTGTACCCTTCGTTTCCTCTTGCTTGCTCTTCTTAGCAGGAGTGGGCTGGTCCTCGTCGCTGCTCTCACTTGAATCTGACTGTCTAGCATTCTTCGTAGTACCGAGGGCATCTGGAGGTGTCGAAACCATTTTGTCCACATCCTGACGAAGCACTAGATCTTCCGGTCTCTCCCAAACGGAAATACGTGACGACGGATTGTAGAAAAATACTCTGCCGTCTCCCGTCCAGACGACGCACCTGTACATTATATAGTAGTTTCAGTATATTGGGAAAAAGCACTACCTTACAGTTATCTGTTGATTAAGGTGAATAATTATGGATTACCAAGGTGTCCCAGGTACAGGAGTACTGGAAATCGGTCTAGATTTATCTTGAGGCTTGGCAGCTTCCTTAGGTATCGAATCTTCCTTCTTCTGTTTATTGTTCTCCATTTCCTTGGCATTTTCTTTGGCTTCATGACTGCCCTCTTGAGGCTTTTGTTGCTTTGTTTGATCTGGGACGGCTACGCTCGCAGCTGCAACCGATTCTTCGGCTTTCTGCCGCAAAGCCAATTTGGCACCTAGGAAGAAAAAATTGAATAAATACCTGTTCAATGTTTAAAGAATTAGATATTGATATGACATCGTACTCTCAAAATCCTTCAAGGCTTGAGGTTTTTCCCAAACGGATTCTCCAGCTTTACTATTGTAATAATAAAGTCTTCCATCAGGCGCACGGTGTTCTGTCCATATCATAGCGGAAGCCACCAACTCCGGATCTATCTGAGCTAGCAAAGCCGGATCTTCCGGTGCCGCTTGTGGTGTCATTACTCCGTGAGGCATCTGCGGCATTCCTAGGAACAAAGTAAAAAATGATTTTAACATTTCTATTGCGATTATAAAATGAGGTGAAACCTACCCCAATTGGTCTGTGGAGGTCCGTAATTTCCGAAGGCTTGAAACCCTGGAGGTGGCATGCCAAAAGGAGCAGCACCAAATGGCGCTGCGATCGGTCCGCCAAACTGATTAGGCATTCTGTGTTGCATAGGTATCATATTCGGTGGAGGTTGCATCATATTAGTGGCTGTATTTACAGAGGGTGTTGCAGATACAGTAGCTGGCGTACCTGGAGGCATTCCTGTTGAATTTTAAAGCATATTAGTGTGTCAAATAGATTCCCCATTTTTAGAAGATACCAAAGATGTCGACTTACCGTTTGTTTGGTTGACGTCCGGCTGTGGAGCCATTTCCGGTGTTTCATTAAGTGCAACGGGAGGAACCGTACCAGGTGGCGCTGTACTCATCTGATTGATTGCCTCAGCGTTATTCGATGACGACTGATCGCTACCTTGAGTCACTCTGGGTTCAGTGATCTGCGGCTGCGTTGCGTTAGTCGTCGTAGGTGTAGCGTCTCGTGCAGTTTGTTTCGCAGCTCCATGCACTAGCTGTTCCAACTGAAAAAAAAATTATTATAATACTTTCCATCAGATATGAAGATTCTCGTTGCATCATTTTACCAACCTGATCCTGCACCATTACTTTGACATTTGGTCCCTCTGGTTTAGTCCAGGTCGTCTCTCTAGAGCGTATATTGTAGTAGTAAGACTTTCCATCGGAAGTCTTGGTTTCCACCCAGACCTCGCCATTGAGATCCAATCCTGGAATGTTTGTCTGTTGTTGGGCCTGCTGTTGTTGTTGTGGTTGTTGCTGCCCTGGAATCTGCATAAGGCATTTTCGTTATAACAATTGAATATTGTGACACGTGCAAAGACACCCGAGAACGTACGCTGTTCATGGAGGGTGGTCCCATTCCAGGAGGCGGTCCAAAAGGTCCTGGCCCGGCTCCAATCGGTCCGTTCATCATGTGCGGTGGTGGCTGTGTCGTTAGCGAACGTACACGTTAACGTCAACCAACCAACCGATAGTATTTATAGAATCTTAGCATGTACCACAACTTCTGGATATTCAACTAAAATTTAACCACTGTTTTAAGTGATCTTAGATTTTCATTCAGTTTCTCAAGAAATATTTTGTTGAAGTTCCAAGAATTGTGGTACGCCCTTTATGTAGGAAACTTACCATTCCTGGTGGTCCCATCAAATTTGGAGGTCCCATAAGATTAGGTGGCCCCATAGGTCCCCAACTTGGATCGAATGGTGGAGGTCCTCGAAATCTTGGTCCTGCTGGTCCTGGTGGGCAATTTGGTCTAGGTGGGCCCTCAAAAGGAAATCCATTGTTGGTGCCTCGAAACATAGGTCCTCTTGGTCCGAATCCTCGTCCTCTAAACCGTGGTGGACCACCTCGCATTGGAAAATCAAAACCACCTCTACCCCTACCCCTTAAATTGTTGCTTCATGTTACAAGTAAAGGTTACTTGCTAGGCATAAGGAACATAGGAACTACCTGGCCAAGGTAAGGTAAAATTGTTATTGGTGAGGGCCATAGTATCAATGGAGATCTTGATTAAGGTTACACGAATGCTGATCCTAATACATTAAAAGATAACTAAATATATGACAAAAAATAATAAAAAACAGAATCCATACGAAGACTGTAAAACTGTAATGAGGAAAAAATTTAATTGAAATCTTCAATGAAGCTAGTAGCGACATTTGATGTAGTTGTATAATGATATGGTGGAATGACCATGAGCCGGTAAAACCTAACCTAATTTCCTCGGCCAGGAAGACTCAGGATGTGGAACTGGTGTGAAGAAGAGGCTGACTGGATCTTCTAATATTCACCTGAATCCACCCCGACCTCGGGGAACGAAGTGCCTGTACTCGTCGCCCTCGAAGTTGTACTCCTCACTTTCTTCCATAGATTCATCATTGTGTTCTGGTTCAGCAGCTGGTACCAGCTCGGTGCTCATCGCCGGCGGCTCGCTAGTTCCTTCCATCATCCCTAATTATTTGCACGATTAAAAGCCTTTTAGACACCCATTTAATTAGTTTTTTTTGTAACACGCATCAAACGCCGCAAACAAATCACTATTTTATTCGTTGCAAGCCGTAAACATATTATTACCAACAATAAAGTAAAATGTCCCTAGAAAAGACCTCGTGCGAATCTGGAATATTTAGAACAACATAAAAATTACTAGAATTCGTACGGTATTCTGGTGACATTCCCTAGAATCTTCTTCTAAAATTCGAAATACTAAAATCGCATTGGCTGAAAGTAGTGAAAATGGCCGAGTGGGCGTTACCAACCCAGCGGCATGCTTTCTCATGAAGAAATATCAATGTGACGCACGAGCTGCGCGATTATTTCCAGTCGATAAGGTAGTACAAGCTAAGCAATTCGGCTTCATTGATGATTTGTAGTTCCTTCTAAAATGTCTCAGATTTATCTACATTAAAGCAATTACTTAATTCATAGATAACAGATGGCATTAAAATTACTCGTTAAATACATACAAGATGGCAGTAATATTGAAGATGTTCCACTACGTATTCTGTATACATTCACCACACCATGACTGTAAAACTGGTTAACTTATCAAAATTGCAAATGACTGTTTGGGTGACACGGACCATTTACACTTATTAAAATTATTAAAGTTTAGTCACGATATAAAAAAAGAGGTGTAACATGACTGTACCTCCAGCTGCCTCTTACATATTCCGTTCCACTTAACTCTTTTAAAATGATAGAACAATTATCAATCCTAAATAGGGGCTATGACTATTCAAAACAGTACCACTACCCATAACGCCCTCATAATTTTTCTACCAATCGCGTTAACCCCGCGAAACGTTATCAATCCTCTCGTAAAAGTTTTACCTCAACCTTTTCCAGAGGTTTATCAACCAATTACAGAGCTGCGATATGAGTCTTGGTAAAGCTGTCTAGCTCAAATTATCTCATAACGCTCAAGAGTTTGTAGGCTGCCATTAATAGACAGGCATTTAGATTTATGTTTAGTCAAGTTCTTTCAGATCATGGAAGATCTTCAATTCCATGTATGAAACAGGTACAAGCTGCCGCAGACTTGCTCTATTATTGATGAAATATAACTGGAATCGATGCAGGCCGCGATACGTTCGTACCAGTTCGTGTGTGCACGTGAAAACCCGAATAATTCACCTGACATGAGGTGTCACCTGACTTACCGTTAGTCATACGTACGTATAACGTTATCCATTGTGATTTTTTTTTCTAAAAATATTAAATTTTAACCAAGGACAATAATCATCAGTTTTCCCACGTCTAACATGGCGATATCAGAACTTTTAATCGAGTCGATGTGACTTGAAATTGTATGCTTAAAATACATTTTTTATTCACCCCTAATGGCCAATGCGTTACGGTTCTATAAAACAAAGTGACGTTTTCTTTTTGTTTCATGGAAAATAGCACAATCTCACGCACGCTAAAAATATTCTACATTAGTAAAGAGTAAGTAATTGGAGAATGAATATGAGAATATTAAAGTTGTTCATTTTGGACTTGAAAAAAAACAAAAACTTAAGGCAACATCGCTCAGTTGATGAATAACTTTGGAATTAACGCTTTTGTAATACCGACGCGATTTGGCTGCAGGATCAATCGGTAAAATATCGACTTTTGCAGATTGGATCGTTCGGTAAGACTTGCGTGTCTCCGTGGAATCGGTAGAAACCGCTCACGTGATCATTTCGTGATTGGCCGTAGGCCTTGTGAACCCCCTTCCCTTGTCGACCTAACGACCCTTTGGATACCACCATGGTCTCCCACCCTGATACTTGGGGTGCCAATCCAGACCAATCCAAAGGCATATCCAACGCCACGGCACTGCTAGGTACGGCCACGGGAGACAAGCTTGGGCCGCGCCGTCTCGCGCGCGCGATCAGCAGTCAGTCTATCGGCACCCTGCGTACCAGCCGCGTCGCAGCGCTTACGTAACCGAGAGTAACACCTGTAATTACTTGTCAGTGTTTTACCTGATGCCTTGAGCTGTTCGGCGGCTGGTTGATCTGCGCGTTCTCGAAGCTGGCTAGAGATAGGAATATATAGAAAAGAAGGAAACAAGAAAAAAAGGAAAAAAAATTAGACGTAATATCGCTCGTGCCTCCCGTGAAAAAAAAAAAACAGATTCGCGGTCTTTAAATTTAAAAGTCGTTCAACCCTCTGCTACCGATCCCAGGTCGTCCGCAACTCCCAATGTGATATCCTGTATTCGGGTCAGTCCAGACAGATACCAGGTGAGGATCTCCGTACCTGGTATAGATCGGAGTGAGTCCCTCGACGCAATCCTATCAGCATTAATCCGGGGGCCAGTTGAGATCCTGCATGGGCCCCGAGGTTCGCGCGCCTTGCAAGAGAGTGGTGTACGCGTTGGTGGCTAGCAGCGGCGTCCCCGTCGGCCTATCGATTACTTTAAAATAGACGCGGGGAGAAGAAGACACCTGCTCAGGGGGCGCCCCCTTAGCGTGACAGGTGCAGCAGTGCGATAGCACCAGGGGTAGTGGTGGTGCTGGCGGAGGAAGAGGAGGAGGAGGATCAAAAGAAGCAGGAGGAGCAGGAGAGGAAGTCGGGAAGAGGAAGCCAAAGACGCAGAGGAGAAGCGGAAAGGGAGTTGGAGGTTGAGGAGGACGAGGACGATCACGAGAACACCCGGAAGCGGAAGAAGAAGAAGAGAAAGAAAGGGTGGTGGCGGAGGTGCTGGAGGCGGTGGCGCCGTATCGAGTTTCCCGAGTCAAGATACGAGAGTGGAAATCCTGAAGAACCTGAGGAACTATTGCCAAGCACCAGGACTAGCCCCGGTACAGGTACCGGTCACTACCAGTGGCGGTGCTGGAGGTGTCGGCGCAGAAAGTGGAAGTCGAGGAAGTGGAAGGAGCCGGCACGACCGGCAGCGCAGCGCGACCTGCTCGCTGGCAGGATATTCTATACCGTGACACGACCTGGAGGCGCCCGTCGTCTTCGCCGGTTCAACCATAACGCCGCCCGCTCTAAAACGCCCGAGACGGGATACGGTGGATACGTCCTCAGCGCCACCGTCGCCCTCACCATCGCCATCATCGTCGTCCTCGTCGACGAACTCGTCGACGTCCGTCGTCGTCGTCCGCACCGTCGCGCCGCCCCCGCCTCAGCCACCGCCCCCATTGCCTCCGCCGCCGCCGCCCCTGCCCCTGGCCCTGCCCCTGCCCCTGGCGCTGCCCCTCGGCCACCAGACATCGGCGGTAACACGAAACAACAAGCACCAGCTACAGGGCATCGCGACGGCGAACAACAACGTCGGCAACGAGATCACCGGACGCATCGTCATGGACGCACCCCTGTCACAGAGCATGGACTCCGTCAACACAGTCGCCACTGGCGAGGACGAGGTACGATATCAAACCTTCTCCTCCCTAGCGTTCGTCATCTTCGTTCATCGTCTTCGTTCGCCTCGCTCCGTCTCTATGACATTCTGTTCCTCGATGCGTATCGGTTTACCTAGAATTACTAGAAGCTTGCTCTAGTTCCTACGTTCCGAGGGAACCTGCCATGGTTCTGCGTGGAGGATGTCGAGGACGGAGCATATACTGTGCTTTTCTATTGTATAGCGTGCGACTGGCTATGCGCACGCAGAGCATGGAACGAGGAAAGACTCTCTTTCTCTCTCTCTCGCTTCCCGTCCAGCATTCTTTCTCTCTCGTTCTCCCGCGCTCCCTGCACGAGACTGTGGTTAGTAGATAGTGGTTAGAGGAGGTCGCCTAGGTGGGAGAATTCGATCGGAACACACGGCAGACACGCAGGTGACGTTTCTACGCTGGATCGGCTACTCGGCTACCTTTTCATACCTAACTTCCTTCCTTCCTTCCTTCCTTACACCGTCTTACATCATTTCTGCTTTAGTGTCTAGGCTCATCAGCCCTTCTACCTGCATCTGTCCTCGTGGGTTCGTGTTCCCCTTGTCCCCCTCGCCCTGCGACCCCCCGCCCCACTCCATCTCTCTCTCCCTTGGCCACCTGACACGAGCACGCTACTACACAACACGACTAGCGTTCTCCTCTGCTCTCTCTTTCTATCTCTTTCGCTCTACGCCTGCGCTCTCCTCCCTCTCAGGATATCCTCCCTGCACTCTACGTACTACTCAGCACTCGCGAGCGGCTGGCATGACCTCCTGCGCTCGCACAATCCTTTACTTCTCATCCACTGGTACCGGTATACTAGTATCATAGCTAGTATTAGTATCACTAGCACTCCGTTACATCTACCATAGTACACACACTCTTGTCCCACCTTTACGACCCTCACGCTGCTTGGCATCCCTCACTTGCTCACTCCCACCCTCTTCCCACGTTCGTTATTGATTTTTACGCGACGTGCGCTCAACAAAAAGTGAGGGAGAGAGAGAGAGAGAGAGAGAGAGGAGACTGGCAGAGGGGAAGACACGGAGGCACCGCCGTAGTCTGTCCACGTCATATGGAGGAGGTGGATTACTCACAACACATGCGTTCTTCATGACCCTCTACTATTCTTCCCACTCTCACTATATACTCTCTGTCCTTCTCTCTCGCTCTGTTTCTCCTGAAACGCTACTCGCGACACACGCCGGCTCTGCATTTTCTAACGGGGTTGTACTCCACGGCCGTGAGTACTTCGACCACGGGATAGATGGATTATTATAGAGACGCTTTCGATGTATTTTACGAGCACTGGCCTGCCTGTACCTACTGTGGTGCTATAGTGCCTGCTATTGCTGTAAAGATAATATGCGATTCAACCGATACACTTCTATGTACATTTGAATGTTAGGATTTCATTCAGTATCTAATCATTGGATTGTTTCCATTTGATTTTGCCGTCCTGCTATTTGTCTATACTCGATCCTTGAAAATTACCAGGGACCAATGGCAATGCGCGACAGAGCTTTTATTTCGGTACGAATATTGCGCTCGAGTTTCCCATCTAGATAACGTCTGGTGAATAATTGGTTCGTGGAAAATTAAAATTACTCTTGCATGGTAGCCCATTGTGCACTTGAAGTACGCGGTTCCTTCGTTACGTTTGTTTTTAGTTTGAGGTGATGTTTTTTTTTTACGTGAGCCAGCAGTTCGTCCGCCATGATGATTTTCCACGTGCCCGCACGTCATAATTGTCTGTGCATATACTTGGGCTACGCGTGCACGTGCCTTGAGAATCGAAAGGGCTTCGTGAATCGTAGGGGGCATTAAAAAGCTATACTTTACTGGGCAGGAGCTCTCTCCCTCTCTACAGCTTTAAATATTGGATAGTCTCTACTGGAGTTGCGGGGAAGTTATATTGGCGTCGGAAGAGGTTAACCTATGAAAAATATATTTTCACGTGAAAATTCACGACTCCTCGCGATGTATCGTGTAAACGTACATACGAGGATACCACTCTCACGAATTGCAGCTGCACTGTCGAAGACTTCGTCATTTACTATCACCAAGATGCATCATGGATATGGGCATTTATGTAGGCGTTTTCATTCGAGAATATGTAGGAGAATAATAATTCCCGCGTAGATCAAGTAATTATTTCCAAGTAACCATGAAAGTTTGGTAAGTATCAAGTTTTTGTTACCGATTCGCAAAATTCGTTTGGCGTTGGTCGTAAACCAGGAATCGACTTTAAGGTAGTATTGCAAGGAACTTTGAAGTACGTGAGAAGGGGGTTATGAGGTGAAAGGGTATGACACGTAACACTCGGACTGGGAAATTGTAGTTATATTTAAGAAATGTATATACTGAAAAACCCTCTTCTTCAGTTTCTTCTTTCATACATTTTCATCCCTTTCTTTTCTACTTTATACCCGTCTCACATATCCTAACCTACGTCCCGACTAAGCGTCCGACCAGTGGCAGTGGAAAACGTGGAGCACCTTCAAGGCGCTATGGTCGATATTGCACGGAGAAGACGCTCTTTAATTTTGCAAGGACGCCTCGCCGTTATTCACGCGGAATCTCGATCTTTGCAGTCGCTTCCGGGGTTAAAGGCTGCAACGAAAATGCATGTAGAGGCGACGCCCGTGGCGGCTTTGCGAAGTTGGGCGATCGACGATGAGTATTTTTTTTGTTATGAAAACAGGAATAATTTTTTTTCAGTCTGATTTTTCCGCATGGAGTTCAAAGAGTATAGCAATAAAAAAAAAGCCGAGCGCCGCAATTAATTTTCGAGGGTATCATTAATATTTTGTCAATTCAATTGCAACCAGGTATGTAATGTTTACACGGTCTTCCAGACCACCCTACGCGAACGTATATCTAACCTGCAACCGTGTAATATCGATTCACCGCGCAATTTCCCACGAAACTCGCCCCTGGTAAACTCCCCAGGGGACTGTTGCATCTATTTTCGAAAAAAGGGGCACTGACGACAAAGAAAAAAAATTACACGAAACGATACACCGGTAACAGGTGCTCGACCGTATGTCTCGAAAATGCGACAGGTGCTCGATTAAGGCGCAGGATCTGCTGCATTTTTTTCGTCCTTTTCGACCCGAGTCCATTTTATTCACAGGATCGGTCGAGTCAACGAAGAGTCGAAAGAATTTCGAAAAAGCACATTGTCGAAGTGCACTTTGAAGAAAAAAAACAGTAAAGCGAAGTAGCACCACTGTATAACGCATGGGAGGTGCAATTAACGGAGAATATGTGTATGCGCTATAATAACACGTGGCCAGGTCAAATAACAGTCTGTTGGAATTGAAAAATCGAACAAGTCGAAAAATTCGTTGCTTGCCGTGCCTCGTATTTTACGAAGAACTTTTACGTCACGACGAACGCGGAGGTGTCACCGAAAGATGCAACTCTAAACGAAACTCCTGGTGGCAAAATTCGTATTGAATTCGTCGGAACGACAGAATGATTATATAACGATGAACAATAGAGCGAGCAAGTTCTAGCGGGAGGCATTATGGCAGAGCGGATGTTGTATAACGGTTAGCCAGCCAAGAGGAACGACGAGAGCAGCAAACCGTAAACGCCACGAACGTTCAACCTCGTCCTCGTCCTCCTCCTTCTCCTCCTTTTTTCTCTCTCTTTTCCTATCCTATTCTCTCTTTGTTTTTATTTTCCTCTTTTTCGTCACTCCTCTCTTTCTTCGCTCCGCGTGCCCTTATTAACGCCAGCTCTCTGATCCTCTTTGCAATGCACCTTCAATTTACACAAAACCAATTGGACAACTCAGTCACTCTTTTTGTTACTACGGGTTTCTTCTTATTAGGAATTTCTTCTTTTTCGTGTTAACCATTGTCTTTTTAGAGTTTCACTGTGTTCCGGAGAATTCCTCGTTATGGACACACATACCCAGATGTCCGTGGCCCAGAAAATTGATGATGAATCATTTCGCTGTAATTTTATTGTGTCGCATAAAGACTCGAATCATCGTTGCATGCTTTTCTTGGTAGGAATATTACTGAGCTATTATTCACTGTTACGTCGATCAAAGTATTCACTGTTATGACGAAAGTCCATGAACATTATTCTAGTATACAAAATAACGAGATACATTTAATGTACTGTAAAATAAAAGAAAATAAAAAATTCTTGCACAATCGACGAAAGTCGAAAAGACCGCGAACAGACGTTTCGATGGCAATTTCAAAAGAAAATATCGCGTCGTACAGCGAATGAAATTTTTCTAGGCACGGTTCTATTTAATTCAAGAGTGATCGTGGCGCTAGTCTCGCGCTCGCCATAATACCGCTACCATGGCAATAACGCCACGATCGTTTCTGTCGCATGAATAAACGATTTGCCGGCGGCAATAGGGAGAATCGTCGTGCGGTGTGTGTCGCCTTCATTCCTCGTCGGCCAGACTTCGCGTCGCCGTTTTCTTTCGATCGGCCAAACATAACATTGTACCATACGCACGCGCCCTTATTACGTCCACAACCAGAGGATTCGCTCAGGTCGTCATACCGTTTCGGAAAGCGTAAAATTTTTCTATAACGTAGAAAAAGGTGTAAATAAAAATTCGCATGACACGTGAAAATAACAGAAATTCAATATGAAAATGTTGTATTTCTCTTTATTGCTTTTTTTTCCTTCCACTGACAGAATACACGATGGCGTGTCCATTACCTATCCATATGTGTCAGTACAGGTCTGTGGCGAATGGGAGTGACAGCAAATGTAATAGTTGAAGAAAACGGGCGAGGGTAACAATAGCAATGGTACGGAGAAACAAGCCGCGTTGGCTGGCTGCATCAATAATAAAAGCTCGCGAGGTCAAATCAATTGTAATGTACGACGCCATGTGCTCCGGTACTCGCATGCATTTATAGTTAAAGTTGCGCAAGTAGGTGCACCGTGCTCTTAACTGTTTTATGGAAAGTATCAAGCGTATGTAAGATACTGAAAGAAAAATAAAGCAATTACCATAAGGGATTAGTTTGACCGCGTTGACTTGAATTATCTTCGTTTGAAGTTGACTTTTAACTAAGGACATTAATAGTCACGTGACACTTGGTTTCAGGATTAATGGGAATGGGTTTGTGGGTTGGAGGGTGTATGACGTCGTCCGAGGAGGAGTTCGAGTCCAGTACGGTCTGTTTGGGTTTGGCTTTGGGGTTTGTCCTCGATTAATGCGATTAGATCGTGATTCGTATTCTTCTTAGAGCCTTCGTGCGTTACATGTATTCGTGTAAAGTCACGAAACAATTATTATGAATTGTCTTGACAAAAGAAAATGTACTCACTCGAGTTGCACGTTTATCCTTATAATTCTCAGAACCGTGAGAATTCAGTTATTGTGTTGCGTTTCTCGGGAAAATCCATGTGATCCGGTGATTTCTCGTTTTTCGCACTCTTTACTTCACTTTCTAAATTGTATTCGTTCTACGGCGTTCGCCCTGTCAGAATACGCATTACTTATTCGCTCGAAGAATATCGTAATGCAACGTAGTATGCACATAAATTGAAAACACTCTATTCACTAATGTTTCTGTCGCCTGATTTATTTGTTTTCAGAATTAATTTGTCGAGGAATAGAATTGTTTGTTAAAAGTTCAAATTGATACCTGTAGCTCCACTGAGGGAAATTGCGATAAAAGCAATGAGTGTATTACACAAAAAATTGGAAAACAAGTTAAAATCCAACGAGCGTATTTCCGCTTGCGGTGAAAAGACAAGAAGGAAAAAAGGATAAAAGAAAACAACCGGATTTTGGCCTCGATGCGCGCCACTTATTCTTTTCAATGATCATCGTAAACGTACGAAATTGTCGCTAGGGCGTAAGAATGTCTTCGTGTGGCTTTTGTCATAGGAAATACACATAAAGGGTCTTCCATGATTTTCCCAACTCCCGTAGACACAACACTCGATCCCACTATAATAATGGTGGTCGTCGATTGGATTACGTCGTGCGGAATTAAAGCCGTACTCGTCGACTCATCCGACGCGAAAACATTGCTCGCCGAACAGGAAATGCGATATATCGATATTGTTACAAGTCCGGAAATGGTTCTCTCGAGTGTACGAACTCGAGCGAGTTTAGCAATGTGAAAAATTTTACAAAATAATTTATTAACCTGAAGCATTTTATATTCAACGTTACAAAGTTTTACAACGGCTAACGCTTGTCGCATCGATTGAGACGGATTGGGCGCGTTTACAATGAAAAGTAGAACGATGGGCTAAGGCCCAATCGGAGCGTGAACACCGAACAATGGCCAATGACGACCGTTATGAACAAACCTAATCGTCCATAGTTCCGATCATCGTTCCGCGCTTTTCTAGGTTGGACTGTAGGACACTCTAGGACATCTATCGATAGAACGTTGCAACTACGTATCTTAGTAGGCAGCTCTTTATGGCTTATGTCGTTCATGCGGAGTTCCGAATTTTGAGAAGGAGGTATCGAACATCGGTTACGGTACGTGTACACATAATTGTGAGTGATTTGGTACTTATATCAAGATGATCTACTACTGCAGTGATCGTTCGATTAAACTGGCGGCTTGCCATTATCGCTGCAAGAAATCATGGCTCGCTGTAGTTTGTAAATTATTGTCAAGTACTAGAAAATCAAGCCAGTGGCGTGACAGATGTCAAATACGAGCAGTGTTTGCCGTGTGCTCTGCGACTGCGATATATTTCTCCAGTCTTTTGAGCGTTAGGTACGCAGCTACGCTGCTCATGGCAAAAATTAACACAATTAAGGTAATTATTTTCTTTTCTCGTTACAGGTGCGCACCTTGTTCGTGAGTGGATTGCCCATGGATGCGAAACCCAGAGAGCTCTATCTGCTCTTCAGAGCGTACGAGGTGAGTTATTTTCTTGTGCTTGTTTCTCTTAGACATTACTGTTAACCTGTACTGTATTTCATTATTCCTCTAGTTCTTTCCGATTTACGTTTCATTAATTATATGAATCTTTGATTTTGTAAAACTCGTTGAATAATGTATCTCCTCGCGGTAGTCCAGTTTTTCCTACTTGTAAAGATATTTCTTATGGAATACCTAGCGACCGTCCTGTAACGCTTTCTGAATGCAATTAGAGTTGTTATTGCCAACTGTCAAATGTATTAAAATATAGTAAGTGTAAGGAAGCAGGCGAGAAGGCATCCTTTTTAAATCCGTCCAACAGACAGGCAGTCTGGAAGTGTGAGTGAAGGAGATAGGTGAAAGGTGAAAAAAAAAGAGAGAACAAATGGAAAGAACTGGGATTGGGATCACAATGGGAAGTTTTACGGGGACCAGTTTTTAAGGTAGTTTACGTGTCCACAAAAAAGGGGAAAGCCCTGACGAATGAAGGTCAGCCCGTCACGAGAGATGTAAACCATGAAAATCTAGAACGGTACTTATGGCCAACTTGTTGGGCAATGACCATAATCAAGATGGCGGCCCTCTGTCAACTATGGGAATTCTATAGAAATTTGTAACTGCATTTAATATTTTAATACTCGATATTAAGTAACGTGCTCTAATATCTTTTACAGGGTTATGAAGGCTCTCTGCTGAAGATCACCAGCAAAAACGGCAAAACAGCATCGGTAAGTAACTCTGATATTATTCTCATGCAAATTTCTTATATTCTTATACTAACCTATGTACGGCTTAATGCTATCGCGGCGTAACGAATACGTTGTTAAGGTACATGTTTATATACACGAGTAAAGGGTGGTCGAGCTAAAAATACTTGCATTGACTTAAGATTAACTTGAGAATTTTATTTTTCTAAATTCTTCACCCGTTACGGAAACGAGCATAATGGCTGCCAGTTACTAGCAATGCCGATGATGGCGATGGTACAGTATGTCGGATGATGGTTCTACCTCACTAATGACTCTACCCAATGCGAACGTCCACATAGTGTTTGACTGTTTGAATACGCTTAAATGACGCAATAGCAAAGCACAGAATGCGCCAGTCGTTAGGAGTATCGCGATACGTACAGTCCAGGTAACAAAAGATGGGCCTCATTGGGCGGGATAGCGCTAGGCGCGTGCCGATGTCTGTTTTCTGTGTGAACGTACCTTCAGACCTTCTCTCGGTCGCTGGCACGGTTAGGTACAACCGTACAAATCAATACGGGGCAGTTCCCCAAGCAGTTTGTTTGCCACGGTAGAAATACCCAGAATTATGCAGAGTTCACCTCGATTTCGGTATCACGCTGAGAATGCGTGTCCCGATTGGAATTAGGCGAAAGGAAATAATTTTTAGATGTACAACTAGGTTCTATCGTGTACAACTTTTCGCCTAGTTTGAAATTTTATACACACGACATTTAAGCACTTGCCGAGAATATACAAAAAATTTATATCTGAATATTGGAAGTGCCCTCGTAATCGAATCACCTCAAGACGAAGTGGGTAGAGGAAGGATTTTAATGGGATTTTCGATTTTCTTTTTTTTTCACAGCCAGTGGGTTTCGTCACGTTTCACACGAGGGCTGGAGCAGAGGCGGCGAAACAGGATCTGCAGGTAACAATAGAGAAATACAAAGCTTTAAAGATCACGCGACCATAGAGGCGAATCTTCTCAATAGTAATTAGTAAATTCTGTTGATTGAACGGACAGCTAAAATCGATGAGCAACGAATAAAAAAAAGAAAGAGCCGTCAGTAAAACAGGAGAGCTTTTAATATCACTAAAGAAAACCTTTCTTTCATTTTCCAATCAAGCTGAGCACGGGTTTGACGCTATCTCTTATAAATTAGTGACACACGACCCTTCATTTCTCTGTTTTTTGGTTCCTCAAACCAAAAATTCCACCTCACCCCCCCTGCCCACTGACCTCTCTTGCTCGACCCCAGGCCCCCCTGCCTCGCTCGCAAAACCAAAAAAAAAGAATCCATTTTGTTCCTAACGCAAAATTTGGGATCTGGAAAAAAAAAAGATGAATCCAGAAGGAATCCTGCCGATCCATCCAATTGGCTTGAGAATTGGTTACACGCGAGATACAGCACCCTGTGTGGTTTAGTCGATATGTCGTTTTTTTAAATATTCTATTCTGTTCTGACCTTTTGACCTTTCCAACCTGAAACTTCCTTGAGTCACAGCCCTACATTCGGTTCCCTGTACAATTCCATTCCCACCCTCCCTGTTTCTCTACCTGTATAACGCCTTTAAATATTCACCTAATTATTTCTCTGGTATTTTCATTGTTTTTTTTTTTTTTTCAAATATATATATATATATACGTATATATATTTCTTTGTACCTTCTGTTGGTTGGTCTGATCACACCATGCAACTGACCTCACGCAATATGCAATTTTTTCCACCACGTAACCCCCTCTCCCCCTGCCCACGTTTCTCATTCACCCAATTCTCGAAATACTCTCTCTGTCTCTCGGTTTGATTTTGGAAACTTTTTTTTCGGGTGTAAAGTTACGACTAACATACGTCAAATGCAGAAAGGCCAGAGATATATTTAAAAAAAAAACTATTTTGAATTTCGTGCGAAAATGTCACTCGGTCGGCATTCAGCGTTATCTAAATTCAGTGCATTAATTCGTATCAGGGGGTTGATCGGTCACCAGGTCAAAGGTACATGTCTGGATGGTAGCTATATATGCCTTATACATAGATATATAGAAATATGTGGACGAGGGTACAGAAGGAGCAGCAGAAGATAGAAGCACAGGGTATTAGTCGCCAAAATATTTTCGTCAAGCTGGGAAGGGTCGATAGGTCGATAGGTCGATTCAGGTAGGAAAGTGTCACGTGAAAGGTAGAGTTCAGTAGGAGGAGGTTAGTTCAGGACGGTATCGATCGACCGGCAGAAACGGAAATACTTTCTAGAAACAGAATTTTCCTATAACTTTGCTCGACAACAGTGAGCCCAGCAAGGAATGAAAAAGTCGAATTTTGAAAAATTGACAAATCGAACATTTTGTTTTTCCTCGCTCGGAAAGAGAGCCTGCGGCTAGCGTTCGGCTAGGCGAACGAGAGACAGACAGAGAGATGCAGGGCGGAGGGAAGTAGGAAAAAGAAAAAGAGAAACGAGAAGGACTCGGAGTTACTTTCGAAAGAGCCCTGTGCATACTAATCGAGGGAATCTATTTCCAGCAGGGGGTTAGATTCGATCCTGATATGCCACAAACGATACGTTTGGAATTTGCAAAAAGTAACACAAAGGTTAACAAACCAAAGCAACCAGCCGCTGCAGCAGCCACCTCGCACCCTGCTCTGATGCACCCTCTAACTGGACGTAAGTATATGCACCAGCCCACCTAGCCCTTCACACCTATTACACACCTTTTGTCACCACCAGGCAGACCCTCGTTATTGTATCTGGGGATTTTTTTTATTTTTATTTTTTTTTGAAATATTTTTTATTATAATACACTAGTGACCTTTTCACCCCACATCCTCCACCCCACGCAACCCCTCGTTCACTCGCTAAAAGATTCATCGACTTCTTTCTTCTATTCTTCTTTCTCTTTCGGTCTATACATTCTTCTCTCTCTCTCTCTCTCTCTTCTTCTCTTTCTTTCTATGGCTCTCTCTCTCTCTCTCTCTCTCTCTTACTATCTCTCTCATTCTCTTTATCACGAAATGCACACGTACACACGAAAACTCTTGTTTAATTGTCGGATATAATAATAAAAAATAATACTGTCTAGCTCTTTGTCGATATAATTGCTTGCTATTTCTACACGGTTAAACGGGTATACCCGGTGGACATTTCATTTGGACGGAATCGATCGGTTTGCTTAGAGTCGTCGAATAGCGTAGAGCCGTTCCGATGACACGGTTCCCGGTCAATACACAGCGGTTCATTATGAGAGCCTACAGACCTTTGCTTATCGAATTCGCTGAATTCACTGGATTCACCAAACTCAGCCGATTAGCAGAGAGTGCGTATGTCGACGTATGGTGAATTTACCCGTAGGTGGTCTCTGCTGTGGGATCGAGTGGGGGTTCGCAAAACGATGAGACGCGGTACGAGGGGGGCGGTGAAAGTTTTTCGAGAATTTTCTATTTCTCAGAAAACGAAAGAGAGCAGGGGATAAGTAACGCACGACGGAGATCGAGCGACAAAAAGAATTTGAAAAAAAAAAAAGTAAAAAAAAGTAAAGGCTCGTTCATTCTTATTCATGATATTCGGAAACGGTGAAACTGAACTATCTCGCTGTACGATTTCGCAAAAGGAATGAGCTCTCTCACGATACCGTATAAATTAATTCGCTTTGATTTGATTTTCCACTCTTGTTACGTAACGTCATTGCGCAACGCGACCAATGGTCGGGGGGAGGGGGGGGGGAGGAAAAAGAAAACGCTTTACGAAATTATCTTCCACGTGGATTACGATTTTCATGATTTTCATGTCGTCCATAAACGTTTCCTCCAAGCGAACGGAAGTCGAGATAAGTAAAAAGGAGAGAAAGAAGAAAATTTTTTTTTTAAACTCAAAACTGTAATGAACATGTACAAAAGGTGTATAAAGGTGTGATGCGATGCGACGTTTATATTGGCATGCAGTATTTTGTATTATCAAAAAAATGTATATTTTAAGGAAACTTGATTATCTGATCGAATTTCTGTGATCTTTTGCAGACTTAGGAAGCCCGTTCTTCCCCGGTGGACCGGAACTCTGGCATCATCCTCTGGCGTACTCGACGGCTGGTGAACTGCCAGGAACACTTCAGCATGCGACTCTGGTTCATCCCGCATTGCATCCTCAGGTCCCCGTACGTTCCTATCTTTGACTATCTGCAGACAAAGCTCTGGAGCCGCCGACGAGTGCCCCGATGCACGTTAGTGATATATACATACATGATCGTTATAATACGTAACCCTAAACTCCTTAGAGATAATTGTTATTTTTATTTTTATTTTTATTTCTTTTTATGTATATCTTTATTGCCTTGCGTTGTTGGTGTTGTACAATTTTTTTCGGTACTCCGCCCAGGATGCCCATTTGGTATCTGCGAATTTAATATGCTTTCTTTATTCGTACACTGCGTATATTCCTGCGTACCAGTTGTTGATCCTCATACGTGGAACGTATGTGGCTGCTTTATTCAGTCCGAGATACGTGCTCGGCGTACGTAACTCTTGCTCGTGAGTTGACGATGCATTAGGTGGATTAGAATTATTTGAATTCGCATCACTTCTTTAGTCTTTTTATTATACATACAATATCTATATTTGCATTGAAACAAGTTTAAGGATACCGGAGGTCGCGTGGGGCTGGAATATTCGTTTATTTCTTTTCTGCGAGCGAATACCTATATCTGAACTGTGCAAATGGATTGGATTATAGGGAATTCACTGGGAGACCCGATTTTTAGGGAATACTTGAGAAAACAGAGTTCAGAGAAATTTTTGTGAAATACGGAAAAACCGATTTCCTTCCTCGCGAAGGAAACCAAGTATGACGGATTCGTGTGAGGTTAACGAACTCTTGGGGATTACCGAGACCAATCGATTATCGCGATTCGATCGATTGCTCTACCTAGGTGTGTAGTACCGATCCTGACACGGACGTCGAACGGGAGATGAGCGTGCGTGACGATTTCGAAAAAATTTCTGGGAGTGAGATTGAATTTTTTCAATTTTTTATATTTTTCCAAAAATTTTCAAACGCTACGATTTTACTTGGAGAGAATAATATCTCGTGTCGAGGTATCTTTCTTTTTTTTTTTTTCGTAGTCAATTATTTTGAAAAATTGACAGCTGCAAAAAAGTGGATATTCATTGTCAACGTGATGTTTTTGATTAATCAAACGTTAATATTTTACAGGCGCCAATGTCTCTGCCGCATCCAACGACGCTGACGTCGATACACGCGTCGCTCCCTCACTTCTTACCGTCGCCCGCTCTGGCGTCGCCAGTTGGTTCGTCGTCGTCGCAGCCAAACATCGCCGTGAGCAATGCGCCCTGTTCGACCCTCTTCGTGGCGAATCTGGGCCAGTTTGTCTCCGAGCACGAGCTGAAGGAGGTCTTCAACAGGTTAGATGATACGTCAATCTCTTATCCACTACGTATTCGTAGTCCGAAAACGTCATTCCTCGGTTCACGACGAAAACGAAGAAATTCGGGTCCCTTTTTCAAGACCGGAAGTTGATTGATGCCCCAAAAAAATTTGCAGCCTCTGAAAAAGTCCGTCACTCGGCTCGTCCTGACCTCTCAGGATGAACTCTGCGCGAGCGGCACGTATAGTGGGACATTGGAAAGGGGTGCCTAAAAGGGGACGTAATGAGGGAAACATACGGTGCGCGAGGTTGGAGCAGAAAGGGGTGGTAATACGACCAAATGGATAATGACTATAGGGGGTTGCAGGAAGTAGCCACGGCAACGACATTTATTCACCCGGGTTATCCGAGTGGCGCTGAGTACAGTTCGATGTTCGACGATGACAAGAAGAAACGGGGGGGTCGTGGGTGAATTTTGAAAAAAAATATTTTTACTTAATTCTCGCTAACGAATCTTCGCAAATAAAATCGTCGCCCTATAGAAATGCCCTATATATCTACGTCGGACTCGTGGCTCGTCCATGTGCGTGCTTTTTACTTCCGCCACCAGAACCGGAAGCGGGCTTCGTGCCTGGCATCGCAAAGACCCGTCCCATTTTACGGATCGATCCCCGAGCCAATGTCGGTGGTTCGCGTTTTTTTTTTTTTTTTTT